TACCCTGAGTAATACTAGTGGCTGTTGGGATAAAGAATGGGGATGTTTTAGAGAAGGAGACTATCAAGATCTGCTTACAGATCCCAAACTAATCAGTGGAAAGGTATCTATTAAAAGCTTCATTAGAAAGGAATTATCTATGAAATATTTTATTGCTGAAAACCAAAGTCTGACATTACTGATAAAACGGTATAGTAACTTTCTGTTTACACTAAGACACATTTTACTTTTTACATTTTAGTCAAAGAAGTTTGGCTGAGATCACAGAACTTATCCATACTGCTCTCCTTGTACATCGTGGTATAGTAAATTTAAATGAATTACAATCTTCTGATGGGCCGCTGAAAGACATGCAATTTGGAAATAAAATAGCTATCCTAAGTGGAGACTTTCTGCTAGCAAACGCCTGCAATGGACTTGCTCTACTACAAAACACCAAGGTAAAGGTGGGCCGGGTGTGCTGTGTGTACGTGGCCTGTGTATGACTATTGGGTGGCTACTGGGTGCCCAAAGGTCTGTACACCCTGTTGCCACAAGTCCCATCGCTAGATGCTCAGCAATTAGTGCTGCTGTAGCCGCTTAATAGCATGACATCACTAGGTAAAACTGGTAAAGGCTGAGACAGGGTTTTGAGACAAATTTCTCTCTTTTTTTTTCTGATTATAGATGAAAGTATATATTAATTATAGTTTTAAATATTCAAACTAAATAAGATTTAAATAAATATTATCTATAATCTCACAATTCAAAGATAATCAGTTATTTAATATTTTGATCTATCTCCTTTTAGTCTTTTTTTGTTGTTCATTAATACTTTAATGAATCTAGTTTTTTTATTTACATAGTTGAAACATTGCTGTATATATGTCTCTTTTAATCCTATCTTTTCCCTCAAATTTCATATTATGGTGTGGGTAGTTTTCCATACTATTAGTAGTTTTTATCTACTTGCTAATGATAACTGAAGGAGCTCTGGTAGCATAGTGGTTACGAATCGGGCTGTGAACCGCAAGGTCAGCAGTTCGAAACTACCAGCTGTTCTGTGGGAGAAAGATGAGGCTTTCTGCTCCCGTAAAGATTTACAGCCTTGGAAACCCTGTACAGGGTCGCTATGGGTCGGAACCGACTCCACAGCACATAACAACAACAACAATGATGACTATAGAGTATTCATGGTAATACCGTTCATTAAGACCTTAATCATTTGGGGACATTTGTTGTTGTTAGGTACTGTCAGGTCATTAGTGACCCTATCTGTGGACAACAGAATGAAAAACTACCCAGGCTTTGCCATCCTCATAAATGTTGATACATTTGAGCCCATTGCTGCTACCACTATGCTGATCCATCTCCTTGGGAGACTTCCTCTTTTTTGCTCATCCTCCACTTTATCAAGCATGATATCTTTATCCAGAGACTGGTGTCCTTCTTGATAACATGTCTAAAGTGTGAGAGACGAAATTTCATCATCCTGGCCTCTAAGGAGCATTCTGGCTATACCCCTTCCCACACAGATTTGTGTGTTCTTCTGGCAGTCCATGGTACTTTTAATGTTCTTCTCCAACAGCATAACTCAAATGCATAAATTCTTCCTTGTTCATTGTCCACCTTTCACATGCATATGAGGCTATTGAAAACACCATGGCTTGGGTTAGGTTCACCTTACTTCTCAAACTGACATCTTTGTTCTTGAACACTTCAAAAAGGCCATGTGCAGCAAATATGCCTAATGCAATGCATCATTTGATTTATTTGATTGTGTTTCCATGAGTGTTGATAGTGGATCCAAGAAAAATGAATACTTTGATAACTTCAGTCTTTTCTCCATTTATCTTGATGTTTTTTATTGGTCCAGTGGTGAGGATTTTTGTTTTCTTTACATTGAGATGCAGTCTGTATTCAAGGCTGTGTGGTCTTTGATCTTCATCAGTAAGTATGGGGACATTTAGATTGTTTCTAAATTTTTTAAATCATAAATACTCAGTACTAAGCATTTTTGCACATAATTATTTCCTCATTCCAGATTATTTCCTTAAAATTAATACCTAGAAATGACTGAAAAGATTTAAAAATATTTTATATTGTTAAACTGTTGCTAAAAAAGTGTAAAAGTATTCCTTAAATACCAATTAGAATTAGGTTTGACTGTAAGAAAACAGTGACCCAAACAAAATAGGAGCTTTTTCCCTCCTGTAAAAAATTCTAGAAGGAAGCAGTGCAAGTTGGTGTGGTGATTCTACAAAGTCAAATACATGTTCCTTTCTTACTGCTATATCATCCTTCTCTTACCACCTCATTGACCTGCCATCATATTCTTACTTCAGTCAGTAGGAAGGAAGAGTATATATTTTGGTTTGTTAGAGACAGAATTGATATAAGTCTGTTGTCCTGTGATCCAATGTGATTTGGCATTGGTCCTGGCTTTTTTTCAATTTTTAACAAGAATTTGTAACTATTCTAATTATATTAGAATAAGCCAGAATGGGTTAAATTCATCTGGACTAAAGAAGCACTAGTGGTGCAGTAGTTAAAGTGCTCAGATGCTAATCAAAAAATCGGTGGTTCAAAACCACTCGCCACTCTTTGAAAGAAAGATGAAGCAGTCTGCTTCCATAGGGATTTATAGCCTTGGGAACTCTAGGGGGGCAGTTCAACTTTGCCCTATAGTGTCTCTATGCGTTGCTGTGAGTAATGGGTTTGGGTTTTTTGTTGGAGGCCTAGTAGTATCACTGACCACATGAAAACATGAACAGTGAAATCTGCTGAAAAAGCATTAGGATCTACTTCAAAATTGAATACTTATTATAAGAATAAGGAGCTCTGGTAGTGCAGTGGTTATGAGTCGGGCTGCTAACCTCACCATCAGCTGTTCCACGGGAGAAAAATGAGGCTTTCTGCTCCTGTAAAGATTTACAGGCTCGGAACCCTTATACATGGTTGCTATGAGTCAGAACCGACTCCATGGCACAGCACCATAAGGTGAATGTACCTGAAGATGATAATTTACATATGCAGATGTAGGTTTATATGCATATCACTTTATGAAACATAATTTTTGTTTAGATCGTCTAAATAACTCCATCTAACTTAATTTCACTCGTTTTGAATGAATAGTTTTTATGAGCACATAGGAAAAGAAAACAATACCTCTTAATGTGATTGTTCCATTTCCAGAAGAACTTTGCATGTACACAATTCTGGTCTTGGTTCTAAAAATTCAGTCATCTAAGTTAATTCTAAAAATTGTTGGATTTCCCCATCCACTCATAAAATCAAGTAAATACATGATGACTTAAGCACTGAGAGCTCAAATGCTATACAAGATTAAAATTTTCAATTTAATAATTCTGATTTGGAATATCTCTCCTTATGAGAAAATATTTTGGTGTTGCTCCTATTTGCATAAATTTTATATATTTGTATATGGATGAAATGAAATTGAGAAGGTCTAGATTTTGAAGTATGTAAATTTGGCAAAACATTCCAAAGAATCATAGAAATAACTTATTTCACAAGTTTTATCTTATAAAAATACTTATTAAGGTGAGGGACTCAGCTGGAGACAAAAAAGTTTGGACTGGAATATTTGCACTTTTGAATATGCAAGAAGTTAGAATTAAGTATATCTTCCATTTAGCAAACTCTCTCTGAGCTTACCAAGTTATTCAATTTAAAATATGATTTACCAAGAAAAATTTCATCAGTAACAACAAAGTAAATTAATTTTTTTAAAAAGGAATCATTGGCGATATCAATAATATCAAATTAACTAACCATAAAATGCAATTGTGAAGACTATTTCTGGCATCATTATTTTCAAATATCATAATACCAAGTAACATAACCAACTACTTTTTTCAGAAAAATGCCAGTGACACAGTATTAGAGTCTAATATGTATAGTTAAAAATGGATGAAGATATATTCCTGTACCAAGAAAAATTAGTATGTTTGTTATTTTTTTAATATTCATATGACCAAAATAAGATTGTGAGGTTGGCACAGGACTGGGCAATGGTTCATTCTGTTGTGCATAAGATCACTATGTGTCGGTACCGACTCAACGGCACCTAACAACAACAACAATATAAGAAGTTCTTCTTTATTTTATTTTAATGTATATGGATGTGTATTATTTTTTAATTCATTTGAAATTTTACTTTTAATTAATTTTTTAGCAGAACTAGTTAACGAGTCTACCAGTATAATAAAGCCAATGGTTAATAAATATGTAACAAAAAATATAAAATATTGGAGTCCTGGTGTGGCGCTGTGAGCTAATGTGTCAGGCAGCAAAATCACTTGAACTGTAAGGCTGGTGGTTCAAGCTCACCACCTGCTCCTTGGAAACCCTATACATGGTCACTATGGGTCAGAATTAACTCAACAACACTTAACAACAACAACATAAAATATTAATTTTTCACTCTCGAGTGTCCCAGGTTGGATGATAAATTATGAAGTCTCTCCACTCTAAGAACTTTTTTCTAGAAGTTATAGAAGATCCCTTTGCTTATATCCCATTCTCCAGAATTTAATGATATAGTCACATCTACCTGTGAGGGAGTCCTGGTATGGCACCAGAAGATAAGCACTTAACCTCAAGGTCGGTTTGAGCCACGAAGTCAGTGGTTCAAATTCAGCAGCCACTCCTTGGAAACACTTTACAGGGTCACTAAGAGTTGGGACCAGTTGCTGGAGAAGGATATCATGTTTGGTAAGGTAGAGAGTCAGAGAAAAAGAGGAAGACCCCCAACAAGATGGATTGGCCAAGTGGCAGCATCGATGGACTCAAGTGTGGCAACAATAGTGAGGTTGGCCCAGGATCGGGCAGTGTTCTGTTCTGCTGTGCATAAAGTCAGTATGAGTCAGTACTGACTAGATGGCACCTAACAACAACAAAAAGAGTTGGAACCAACTCACCAGCGCTTAACAACAGCAACAACCTATAAAGGAGGCTGGGAAATATAATCTTCATTGTAGAAAACCATGTACCCAGCCAAAAATCTGGAAAATAAGAAAAGATACTAGAAGACAAATAGCCATCACATCTTAATTTTTATTTATTATTATTATTTAGCATTCCCATCTCATTTTTAGCTATCAAATATTTTCTTGAGATAGGTCCACTGATTTTAAGGGAGATTTTAACATTCAGTTTATATCCTTGTGAAAAGGAGGCTAACGTAAGGGATAAATGTTAGCCAGGCACTGCCCGGGTCTACGCCGTCCTCAGGATTGTTATGTTTGATCCCATTGTTACAGCCAGTGTGTCAGTCCCTCTTAGTGGGGTTCTTCTTTTTCACTGACCTTATACTTTACCAAGCATAATGCCCTTTTGCAGGATCTGGTCCCTCCTGATAGCATGTCCAAAGTGTATGAGACAAATCTCACATTGCTTGCTTCTTTGGGTACTTTGGTTATACTTCTTCCAAGATAGA